AAGTACGAAACAATTATGTGTACTCCTGTCATCCTAGAATCTTTCTGCCAAAACGATTCTTTATGTGTTAGTAAACAGCTTGAGAGAAGCCACCCCACACTATTTTCCGCTACCACACTGAAAAGGCCAGCCTCTGAAATACACCTTCCACCCCAAGAGCTGAGCACCAACCTGTTAGGGCAACTTAACACACAACATAGGACAACATAACACACAAAGTCAAGGGACTGAGCAACAATACACACAATCAACCTGGGTTCTATCCCAGAAACCCAATATGGTCCCCTGAGCCCTCCAGGAGTGATCCCTGAGTGTAGAGCCAGGAGTAAGTCCTGAGCACTGGTGGGTATGGCCCAAAAGCCAAAAAAAAAAATTTAAAAAAATTTTTTTAAGATTAAAAATGCTGGGGATAGAAAGATTAACACACGGCTAGGCACTTGCCTTGCAAGCAGCAGACCCAGGTTCAATTCCTGACACCCCATATGACCAGCTAAGATCACCAGGTAAGCCCTGATCACCACAGAGCTGGGGATCCACGCACGAAAAACCTGCACTTTGGCCCTCTGAGCCCTCTCCCTGGTCTAAACAGGCACATTTTAAGTATTCGGGACGAGGGACAGAAGCTACCACACTGGAGATTCAGGAAGAGTGTGCCTCTTCATCACAGGAAGTCTGCTGTGTGGCACACCAGGCAAAACAGCTAAGTGGAGCAGAGCAGGGAGCCTGGGGAAGGCCTATCTGGTGGCCCTTGTAAGTTTCGTGTCTGCTGTTCCAGCAGGGGCGCGGGAAAGGAAAGGCTGCGCCTCCCTGCCGCGGGAGGACGAGTGGCCGAGGCTTTCTGAGAGGAGCAGCGGCTCGGGCCACGCACACCTGGTGCCAGGAGCACGGCCTGGTTGCGACGCCACCTTAGCAGTCGGTGGGAGCGTCTGGCGCACCAGGCTTCGCTGCAGACGAGGGTTCCCGCAGGGCCAGGCCTGGCGAGCAGACAGCGGCAGCAGCTCTGCCAAAAAAGCCGCTGGGAAACCGAACGCACGCCGGTTCTTCAACCTCGGAAAATGTTTCCTTTTCCCCCTTGGGCATTTGAACCCCGCTCCGGATCTAAATATAACCAAGATTCCGAAGGAGGCGTTTTCCCAGCACGAGAGCCACCTTCCAGGGCCGGATAACGACGCTGACGCTTGGGCCTCCCCCGCTCCCCGGGGATGGAGGGAGGGAAGCAGGGGCGGCCCCGGGCACGCGGCCCGAGGGGGCTGCGGCTCCGAGCCCCCAAGCGGCCGGGCCCCGAAAGTCGCCGCCCCCGCCGCCCCCGCCGCGCACCTGTCCCAGTTGGGGTCCCAGACGCCCGGCCGGGGGCGTACGGGCCCCGGCCCCAGCGGCAGCTCAGTCCCGCGCGGCTCCGCGTCGCCGCCCCCACGAGGCTTGCCTACCGCCACAGCCGAGAAGAGCACCGCGGCCGAGCCCCCGGCCAGGCCGCAGGCCGCCAGCTGCAGCGCCTGCCGGAACGCCATGCCGCCCGCTCCCGCCCGCCCGCTCAGCGCCCGACGCCGACGGCGCGCCGCTAGGGACACGCCAGGCACTTCCGGCCTCCGCGGCGCGCCGAGACCCCGCCTCCTGCCGGGCGGAGCTGGGGCGCGGGGCGGGGTGGGACCAGGGAGCGGGCCCGAGGCCAGGGCGGGGCCGGGGCGCGGGGGCGTGACCATGGTGCGGAGGCGGGGCCGGGACGCGGGGCACGGAGCGAGGCGGATCTGGGGCGCGGGGCGGGGCCGGGGCGCGGGGCGGGGCGTAGGGCGGATCTGGAGCGCGGGGCGTGGGGCGCGGGGCGGGGCGGGGACGCGGGGCGGGAGGGGCCGGGGCGCGGGGCTGGGGGCCCGAAGCGGGGGTGCGAGTGGGGCTGGGGCTCGGGGCTCGGTTGGGGCGCGGGGCTGGAGGCGCGGCCCCGGCGGCTGCTGGTGCGAGTGTCGCGGCAGGTGCCGAGCAGGTGCCGAGCCGCTGCCGCCCCGCCGGGGGCCGGGAGCCGGGTCCAGGGACCGGCCCGGGAGTACCGGCTGGCCCGGCGCGGTGTGTTTGTGTGGAGCAGAGGAACACGCGTGAGCGTTGTTAGTGCACAGCTCGGTGAGAGCGAGACTTCCCTGGGCCCCGGGGTAAGGCGCTTTCCTGGCACGCGGCAAATGCAGGTTCGTCATCTAATGTGGTCTCCTAGAGAGCACCACGGGCAATGACTCCTGAAAGCACAGTCAGGAGTCAGCCCTGAGCCCCGCCAGGTGTGCCCCACCCCCCCGAAAAATAAATTAAAACCAAAACATGCATATAACATAACCCCACAGCCCTACCAGTGTGTCAGAGTCATCCTTCTCCCTGACTGCCCCCGCATCTCACTGACATGGCAAACTGAATTCTGTAGTGCAGTTCCTAGTTTCTGCAAGCCTGGTGGGTGTCTCGCACCCACAGACTTGGGTCTCCAAGGATTTTCTACCCTGGGGAAGCCCTTGTTCTCTCTTGAACTCACTCCCTCTTTTTTTGTTTTTGGGCTATACCCGGTGACCCAGTTCAATTCCTCTGCCTCTCTCGGAAAGCCCGGCAAGCTACCGAGACTATCTCGCACACAGGGCAAAGCCTGGAAAGCTACCCATGACATATTCGATATGCCAAACACAGTAACAAGTCTCACAATGTTACTGGGCCCGCTCGAGCAAATTGATGAACAACGGGAGGACAGTGACAGTGACCCTGTGATGCTTAGAAATTACGCCTGGGAAAATGAAAATGAGCAAATAGAACAGGTAAACAGCTGAAAGGCTAACATACCAGCCAGCCTCTCAGACAGTCTCTCAGAGGCAAGACCCTTTTCCGTGGCTAATCATTCGTATTGTGGTAAAAGTAAAGTAAAGGCCCTCCCGTTGATCATCAATTTGCTCAAGCGGGCCCAGTAACATCTCCATTGGAGACTTTGTTGTTACTGTGTTTGGCATATCAAATACGTCACGGGGAGCTTGCCATGTGGGCGAGATACTCTTGGTAGCTTGCCGGGCTCTCAGAGAGGGGCGGAGGAATCGAACTTGGGTCGTATTGTGGTAATTTATAATTTAAGGGAAGTTAAGGGGCGGAGTAATCAATAGCACAGCGGATAGGGCGTTTGCCTTGCACGGGGTTGTCCGCCAACCCGAGTTCAATTCCTGCACCCCTCTCGGAGAGCACAGCAAGCTACCAAGAGTATCTCACCTGCGTGGCAAAGCCTGACAAGCTACCCATGACTTATTTGATATGCCAAATACATAACAAGTCTCACAATGTTTCTGGGCCCACTAGAGCAAATCGATGAACGACGGGAGGACAGTGACAGTGAAAGGGAAGTTAAAAAATCTGAGGGCAGGGGGTATGGTGCCACTAGCAGGTCAATCTGTACCTGTGAGGCGAGTGCATCAGCAGCCTGATGGCGCCTTCAGACTTCCAGATACCCTAGAATTGCTGCTGTGCCTTTGGCCAGACCCCAAAAACTTGGGGCAAAGTTTACCAAGAAAGCAAATGGCCAATAGTGGCCAAAAGTTAGGTATGTGGGAGACACACCCACAAACCACCTCAGGCTCAGCTATATAACTGGAGGCATGGCCTCTCTGGTTCCTGATCGAACAGCTTAACGGCCAAGATCCCAGAGACTCAGAAACAAATCTCGAAACCCAGTGGCTTTTGGCAGAAATGCCTAGGACCCCTACAGTAAGTTACTGGCGCTGGGCCAACCCAGGTGGGAATAGGTTTCATCCCTTGGCCTGTTACCCCTGGCGGCCCGGGGAACCTCCTCCAGAGGCCACTGGACAGTCTGGGCCCACAGTGACGAGACATGCAGGGCCTCACGGGATGGGGGTGGAGCCGGCCCTTTCCTCTCCACCCCAACAAGACCCCCGAGTCGCCGCCCAAGAACGGCCTCTATGGCTCCTGATCAAGCTGCTTAACAGCCATGATCCCACAAACTCAGAAACAAATCTCAAAACCCAGCGGCTTTTGGCAGAAACGCATCCGTACCCCACAGTGGACTGCTGTCGCCGGGCCACTACAGGGGGGAAAGGGTGCTGTCCCTCCGCCTGCTCCCCCTAGGCGCCTCGGTGGCTGCCATCCTCCAGAGGCCATTAGACAGTCAGCTTTGGGCCCTCAGTGACGAGACACATGGGACCTCATGGGATAGGGGTGGAGCCGGCCCTTTCCTCCCAGTCCCAACGAGAACCCGAGTCACCACCCATGAACGGCCTTTCTGGCTCCTGATCAAGCTGCTTAACGGCCATGATCCCAGAGACTCAGAAACAAATCCTGGAACCCAGCAGGTTCTGGCAAAAATCCCTCCAGATTTAAGTGTTAAAATTTCGGAATTTCAAAATCGCATGGCCACTACTGCAGCCAAGCGACATCAGATGTTATTCCTAACCAACAATAGAAAACAAATTGTCTACTGTTACCCTTTCAGCAGATCTGTTGGGGTAAAATCCCAAATAATAATGGTGGGTCTGGTGTCAAAATATTGAATGTGATCAAAGTAGAAGAGAGAGTAATGTGGAAATCATCTGCCCCACAGGTAGGGGGAGGATGTGGGATGGGGGTATACTGGGGTTTTTGGTGGTGGAGAATGGGCACTGGTGAAGGTATGGGTGTTTCATTGTATGACCGAGACTTAAACCTAAAAGCTTCGTAACTGCTCTCATGATGATTCAATAAATAAAATTATAAAAAATGGAAAAAAATCTAAGGGCAGTCCTCAACCCACACAGTTCCAAAGCAGTAATATTAATAAGAAAGTAAATTCCAGGGCCAGAGAGATAGTACAGGGGGTAGGGCACTTGCCTTGCACATGGCCAGCCCAGGTTCAATCCCAGGTATCCCATATGGTTCCCTGAGCACCCCCAGGAATAATTTCTGGGTGCAGAGCCAGGAGGAAGCCCTGAGCACTGCCAGGTATGGTCCAAAACAAACTCCCCCCCCCAAAAAAATGAGTAAAATCACCACTACAATTTTAGTGGGAAAACTTCATCATGTTTTACTGTGATCCTAACTTAATCCTAAAATTTAGGCAACAAGTGAAATCATCTCTTTTAAATTTCTAGGGCAGCATATTGAAGTCAACTACTGCCTTTTGAAAGAACACATCATTCAGTCATTAGGTTTCTGTTTCTTCATCCATCATGGCCAAGCATCTTGAATCACATGATCTAGAGTGAGAACGGGACATCTGGGCTGTCTGTAACTCTCACTCTGTGGGAGGCACCATTCCACCCAGATCCATGCCAGCGGTGCCAATTCTTCAGGCCACCTTCACTTCTCCAGAGAGGCCAGGTAGGCATACCAGAACAGAGACACAAGGTTTGCAAAAAGTACGCGGAACTGCAAAGAAAACAGAGACAGAGACAGACCTGAGTCCCCAGCAGGCAGTAATCCTCCAAAAAAGGAGCTCATTCAGTTATCTAGCCATCCCAAAAGACTTTACCCTTTACCCTTTACCCAGCACTTTGCTAGGCCTCCAGTAACAGAGATAAGGACAGAGTCCTGGTTTACACAAGCTCGTGTGAAAGCAAAAATGTTCCTTACAGCCCATCATCAAACATTTTAGGTCCTGGCTCAGCCACTCCCCTCATGGCAATCACGAGTAGGGCTCATGTCCTACTATAGCCTAACAGGGTTGTCTTGTGGCCTGCACTTTGTCCTCAAACACTGGGAAGGGTTCCACCTGCCTGTCTCCCCTAGTCAACCTCCACTTGCTCACATTCTTGGGGTTTTCTTTTCCACACTCCATTTCTGACTCAGCCTGGGAGACCCAGCGAGTAACAAAGCTTCCTCTTACCTCAAGGGAGAAGGGCCTCTGACAGAGCTTCTGCTTTTCCCCCCAGCCCCTGCTTCTCATGGTCAGTCCCACACACAGCCCAACAGCTCACAAAACTCAGCTTCTCCTGGCTTGAATCTTCTACATACTGCCTCCTCTATCATTTCTTCCAGTGTTTCAACAACTTCTAGAGAGAATTTTCTAGACTTATGGTATTTTTTCAGCTTTTCCATCTATTCCTGACTTTCAGCAATTTGGTTTCAGCCCTCGCTGATGTCACTGTGAAAGCCAATGAAACAGACCAAGGCTTTTTAGTTACTGGTTTTTGGGTCACGCCTGTCACTGTTCCAGGCTTATTCCTGGTTCTGAGCTCAGGGACCATATGGGGTACCTGGGATTAAACCCAGATTACTTGTATGGAAGGCAAAAGCCTTATCTACTGTACTACCTCTCCAGCCCCCAAATTGAGTTTTACTTCACTTCAACTCCCTGTACCACTTGCTCTATCTGCCATGGTTATGGCGCTACCTTCTCATGGTCTTCTGTGCATGTACCCCCCTTTTCCCACTCTCTTCTCTACAGCAGTGACACTGCCTTCATAAACTATTTCCTGGTTTGCTTTGTTTTGGAAAGAGTGTAGGAGACCTAACGCGGTGGTGCTCAGGGATATTTCTGGGTCTAAACTTACTGTACCTATGCGGTGCTGGGTGGGAAGGATAAACTTTTAACAGAGCAGGCCTGAGCTACCTTCCAGGCCTGGTAGCATCTTGTGTTTTGTAAGGGTTCACACTCTTACCTAGCTGATCCCATCCCCCAGCAAGAGAGCTTGGGGCTGGAGTGCAAACTCTGCATATGCAGGATACTTAGGTTTGAAGCCAACACCTTCTGCTCTCCTGATCATTGCCAGGACTGAGCAGAGCCAAGAAGCCCTCCCACCCAATGTCCCCCCCCCCCAATAAAAACACCAGCTCCCCAGTTCAGTCTGCTTGCAAAGAAGCTGTGCCAAAACTCTCTTTCCTGGGGCTGGAATGATAGCACAGCAGGTAAGGAGTTTGCCTTGCACGCAGCCGACCCGGGTTCAATTCCCAGCATCCCATATGGTCCCCTGAGCACCGCCAGGAGTAACTCCTGAGTGCAGAGCCAGGAGTAATCCCTGTGCATCGCCGGGTGTGACCCAAAAAGCCAAAAAAAAAAAAACTCTCTTTCCTTTGGAAAGGAGCCAGGTGCTTGGGCTTGTGCCTGGAGATGGGCCTCAAACATGGTTTGTGCATTGCTGTCTATAGATTTTAGGGTATACTGGTCCCATAAAGGACTCCTAGGCTGCTGGACAGAGCCACAGCCTTCTGGTGCTTTAACAGATCAAGGCTTGAACCCGTCTTTCTTTCTTTCTTTCTTTTTTTTTTTTGCTACACCCAGTAATGCTCAGGGGTTGTTCCTAGTTCTGCACTCAGAAATTATTCCTGGTGGTGCTGGGGCAGGGGGTGGTGGGGGGCATATGAGATGTCGGGGATTGAACCTGGGTCAGCTGCATGCAAGGCAAGCACCCTACCTGCTATACTATCGCTCTGGCCCTACACTTGAACCCTTGTAGCAAATCTCTAAGTCCAGCAATAGCCTAGGGATCCTGACAGATACTGTGAACTATGGTGGGCACATACAGCTGGGGCTCTGGTCACCTTTTTGTGGCAGGTTCTGGACTGCTCTATTCCCCCTGGGCTTCAAGTCCCAGATGGACAATCAGCTGTTCCACCAGCAGGTCCAGAGTGGGCACTTGGGAGAAAGCACCACTGGCTATGGGGAGGAGGTGTGGGCAGCCCAGAGACACAGTGCAGGTTCTCACCTGCAAAGGCACATAGTTGATGTTGATGAACTGCACTGGGGTCCAGACACGCCAATTCATCTGCAGTGCAGGCCAGAACCCCGTTCTTGTCCGGGCAGCAAAGGCAGCTGCATCTTTGCCCTACGAAAAGGAAAATGCAGGCACTGAATCTTGAGACCAAGGTGCTGAAATGATTCTTCTAAGGTCACATTGTTCTGTATATATGTGGGCAGCATACCACATATCCCAAGCACTGTGCAGCTCTATGCACCTCGCCTCTGGATTGAACATCAGCAGACGCACCCATAGCTTCCCTCTCAGGGCTGAAATGACAGCAGATCTATGCACCAGCCCTGGGTACCAGAGCCACGAGTTATGGCTCTCGCTTCTTTCCAGAATGACCTACAAACTGCATCATCTCCCTAAACCTGACAGGACATATTTGCTGGTGTGTTCTATAGTTGTCAGGAATGAAAAGGAGTTTTGTTCAGGTTTGGTTTGTGGGCCATCACTCCCTGAGGGCTTGGGGGACACTATAGGGTGCTAGAGATTTGAACCCCGGTCAGTCATTAACGAGGCAAACATCCTACCAACTACTATTTCCTCCAGCCTGAATATGTTTTTGGCTTTTTGGGTCACACCCAGCAATGCTCAGGTCTTATTCCTGGTTCTGCACTCAAGTAATTCTCAAGGTGGCGCCTGGGATATGGGATGCCAGGGATTGAATCCAGGTTGGCCGCGTTAAGGCAAATGCCCTACCCAGTGTACTATCACTCCAGCCCCCATTTCTTTTTAAAATGTGGGCCCCAACTGATTGTTTCTAAGAGTAAATGTATAAGTATAGATATCTTAAAAAATAAGGAAGGGCGGATGGATCAATAGTACTTCTGTATTACTCTTTAGCCCCAGGAACAATTTTACTGAAATACAGATATCAAAATATTCAGAAAGAGGCTGGAGTGATAGCACAGCGGGTAGGGTGTTTGCCTTGCATGCGGCTGACCCAGGTTCGATTCCCAGCATCCCATATGGTCCCCTGAGCACCGCCAGGAGTAATTCCTGAGTACAGAGCCAGGTGTAACCCCTGTGCATTGCCAGGTGTGACCAAAAAAAGCAAAAAAAAAAATTAGAAAATATATGATGGACAACTACATTTACTTCTCAAGACATTTAGTGATTTACTGTAAGCATAAGTGATATCCTGGAACTCTTTAAGAACTAACGTGAAATAACAGGATCTACAATTTCTATCGATGACCAACAGGTGCTGCTAGTTCTCTAGTGGTTTACTCCCACCATTCATACAAGAAAATACAAAAATTCAATCTGAGTATAGTGCCAAAACCACAGATTCTCTGAACCCCACCCGCAGATGCCTTGCACCCCCAAGTGCAAAATGACGAGTAGTTGTAGGTGCCACAGCAGAAACCAACCTCCAGGAAGTTCATGACGAAGAAGAACACTAGCAGGAAGGCCGGTGCAAAGACCAGGCGGTCTAAGAGGAGCCTCTTGACCCCTGCCAAGGGGACCTCAGGAGGGATCCAGTGCTCCAGGAAGAGGTAGAAGAAGTGACTCAGCGGCCCTGTGAAGAAGAACCTGAGGCCCCCATGGGGTGAAGAGGACCACCCTTGTCTGGCCCAGGTCCTAAAACCTATCTCCCTGGAGACCCGCAGCATTGACCACAGGTCTTCATGGTCACTCTCTTTTTCAAACCTACGTAATTCCTTTTCTGTACTAAGGCCATCTCTTAGAGCAATTGTAGGTTGACAACGCATTTGAGAGGGAGGTGGATTCCCTGTTGACCCCCTGCCTCTGCCAATGCATAGTCTCCTGTATTACCCACATTATAAAAATGTGGCTGCTTCAAGAACGTGTCTTCCTTGCACCAGAGTTAATCTAAATTCCCTTGTGTGGTTCAGTTTTAGCTGCTAAAGTGAGCATATCAAGCATCTTATAACTCTGACAGATCAGAATTGTTCCTGCTGGAATTCCTTTTAATTTTATCAGGGCAGTTCCTTCTCAACACTGAGCTCCATGAGTTCTTTCCTGATCTTCTAAAGAATGAACCCACTACCATTCCAGCTACTCTATTCTAGGCATTCTTGTTGTCTTTATGGTATTTTATACGCCATGTCATCTCTGCTTTTTAGATCTATGCTGCCCTTTCTTTGTGCCTAGAAAATAAAACCTGATAGAACAGAATTCTATTTCAATCGTGGTAGTGCCAAGTTCAGAGAATTCTCTTAGAAATAAACAAGCAGCAGCACCCTGGTGCCAGCTGGAGCTATTTACGAGATAATTGGCAGGGGTAGAAGCAGGTTTGTGGGTGCTGCTTTTCAAAGTATGTAGAGCACGTGGGAGAGGGCTGAACCTAGAAGGGCTGCAGCTCCACAGGTACAACAGCTTAACCTTCCCACCTTCACCACTGAACATCTTTACACTGTAATTCCAGGCTGTCAATCCCATTCTGCCAAACAATGTTGGGTTGCAAGAGGATTCTCAGTGGGATACCTGAGATAGGGAAGATCTTAAAGGTGATTTTGATACCATCCCCATCTATGGCGGAAATGGCTTTATCTTTGTGAATTTCCAACTGGAAAGAAAAATATTACTCTTGTCAAAAATGACATCAGAATGATCCTTCTATACAAATACTGTTGTTGTCTACATAGGTCAGGGTACACTTGACAGGTAAAAGTTCTGAATCTTTATACTTTTTTTAAAAAAGAGGGCCACACCCAGAATTGCTGGGTGATGGGTGATCACCTGGTATTTGGGCTAGAACTCAGGGCTTCCCATGTGCAACTTGAGCTATCTCCCTGGCCAGATTTGTGTCATTTAAAAAGTGGTTCAATGGGGCCAGAGTACAGCAGGTAGGGTGTTTCCTTTAATCCCTGGCATCCCATATGTTTCCCCAAGTAATCCCAGGAGTAATTCCTGAGTATAGAACCAGGAGTAACCCTTGAGCATCGCTGGGTGTGACCCCCCAAAAAATAGTGGTTCAATAAGTAGGATTAGCTTGGTTTGGGGGACCACACTCAAGAGTTGCTCAGGAGTTCCTCCTAGCATGTTGCTTAGGGGTTACTCCTGATAGTGCTCAGGATCACATAGTACTAGGGATGAGCCAGGGTCATGTCATCTGTACACAGAGCATGCTCACCAGTATACTGCAGGATTCCTAAATATTTTATTTCTAGATGTTTATACATGCCTTCATTACTTTTCTCTTTCAAGGTCTGAGTCATGGTAAGTTTGGTAAAACTGCTCTTAGGTCTCTCAGACCAACCATCTCCACACAGCTCTTAACAAAAACCTATGTAAACTATAGTTGTGCCTGATATAAGACACAGCTCTATACACAACTACATCCCACGTTTACTTCAATAATTGATAAAACATTTTTCCAAGTTTAGATTCCATAATATTGTTGGCCCCCTTTGTTGCATTTAACCTGCTATTGGGTAATATAGCCTCTTTATTGAACTTACCCATAAATGGCATATCTGAGAGGCCCACTGATGTCTAGCTTTTGAGAGAAGTTTTCTTTTTTCCGTCTCTTCTTAATCACTTGGGCCAGGAAGTTCCCAAGTGCAGACAAAATGCCACTGTAGACAGAAAGGGAATCAGAGGACAATAGCAAAATCCTGAGGACTTAATATGGGTGAATTAATATGACTATCCTGAGACCAGGCAGGGGATGAGTGAGCCTCAGTGGTCTCAGTGAAGCACCTGGTATCAGAAGGTAGACAGAATTAAGTATTACTCATTTGGAGGCTGGAGCAATAGTGCAGTTGGTAGAGTGCTTGTTTTACACATAGACAACAGGTTCGATCCCCAGTACCATATGATCCCTCTAGCCCCACAAGGAGTTATCCCAGAGTGCAGAGCCAGGAGCAAGCCCTGAGCACCACCCAGTGTGGCCATACACACCCCAAAAGAGAATTATTAGTTGGTTGACTATACCAATATCAGTCTCATGACATTAGCATAGGTTAGTCCACAGGTGGGAGTGTGAGAGCTATGTGATTACAAAAGGCAACTACAGATAACCTCCTGAACTTTTCTGTATTTGACTGTGGTGGTGGCCGTGCAGAAAATCAATTGTGATGAAACAGCACAGAACCCAACACAAATAAAGACACACATGCACTTTTGCATGAACACAAGGACACCGGAGGAAATCTGAAAAGGATTGATGAGTTGTATGCAAGTGTCCAGAATGTGATACTGTACAATATTTTTGACATTGTCCTCTCCGGGGAAAGAACACAGTATACTAGGAATCTCCCTCAGTGTCTTCTTATAACTGTACATGAATCTACAATGATTGCAATAAAACATTTGTGAAAAAGCGGAGACTGGTTCAGTTGCTCCAGGTTGCTTTCTACTCTTTAGGCTAATAAAAAGCCCGCAAAAATTTTAATACAGGTGAAAGGTCTGCTTTATGATGTGTGTGTGCGGTGGTGGGGGGAGGGTGTCACACAACTGTGAGTGATGGTGGGGCACGGTGACACACTGGGGTGCTGGGTATAGAACCCACGTCTCAGAATGCAGAGCAGAAACGACGATCCTGCACTGACGACCACACCTCGAGCCTAGCAGAATCGCAGAATCTCAGGCACTCTCTTCCCAGATTTTTTTTTTTTTTTAGTTTGGGCAACCTTGGACTCGGGCTCAGGCGTGTCCGGTCAGTCTTCACACTGGCCTGCTCCGCTCACCCCGCCCCTTTGGTCCCACACAGCCTCCACGCAGGGGGCTCTGGCCGCGACCTCCCTTCCGACGGCCGGCGGCCAGACGTCCCCTTCCCGAGCGGGACGCCCCGTCTCGTCCGTCCCGTGGTCCGGAGTGTGGGGGCGTTGGGGGCCTCGCGCGGCAGCCCGTCCCGCTCACCCCAGGGGACGCCTCTACACGCCCGCGCCCGGGGCCCCTCGCGTCCCTCGCCCGACCTGGTGGCCGCCTTGGTGAGCACCGGGTAGAGCCGCAGGAGCAACAGGTACTGGGCGAGCGCCCGGCGCGGGAGCTCCTGGAGCGGGGCGGCCCGCAGCCTCGACGCCGCCGGGGCCATGGTTGTCCTCGCGCTGGGTCGCCCCGAGCTGCCCAGCCCTCCCAGGCCGGCGGGGCGCGGGGCGGGGACGACCTGACATTTCCCGCCCCGCTCGGCGGCCCTCGGGACGCGGCTGACAGAGCCGGCCGAGCGCGGCGCGCTAGCGGGCGCACTTTCGCTCGAGTCCCTAAGGAGCCGCCGCCCACCCCAGGCTCCCGCGGCGATTGGAGCGGGGCGGGGCGGGGCGGGGCGCGGCTGCACCGAGGGCCCTGATTGGCCCGCGGGCGCTTCCGGATCCCGCGAGAGTTGGCGGAGCGCGCCAAATTTCTGCTGGAAGCCGGAGCCGCGGCTGCCGAGGAGGAGGATGGTGCTGAGGAACAGCGGACGGCGCTACGCGGAGCCGCCCGCGGACGGCGAGGCCAGCCGGTGAGTGCGCCCGCGGACCGTGCCCCTTCCGAGGCGGCAGCCACACCGCCGGCACAGGCGGGCCTGCCGGCCTGGGCGCGCGCACACCTGGGGAGCCCCGGTGACGCCCGTTCCGTCGCCCTCAGGGTAGTCCCGGGTCCGGAGGCTGAGGCGGCCTGCCGCGGCCCGGAGCGCCTGGCGGCCCCGGTTCCCGCGCTGCTCACCTCACGCTCCCGCGGGCCGAGGCCGCCGGGCGAAGCGGAAGGTCCTGCCTCGCGCCTCTGCGCCAGCCCTCGCCCGGGCAGTTTGTCGCAGGGGCGGGAGAGAGCACCGGAGGTCCTTGCCGGCTGCTGCTGGGCCGCCCACGGGGTTCGCCAGCATCATTTGTGAGGCCTGGGCAACTGCCGGCTGTGGCCCAAGCCGGCCCCTCCCCCCAAAACCCCATGTTTGTGCCTGTTAACCCCGTTTTCTGCATGGATAAGATTTGAGGGAGGCTGGAGTGATAGCACAGTGTGTAGGACGTTTGACTTAAACACGGGCGACCCGGGTTCGGTTCCCAGCATCCCATATGGTCCCCCAAGCACCGCCAGGAGTAATTCCTGAGTGCAGAGCCAGGAGTAAACCCTGAGCATCGCCGGGTGTGACCCAAAAAGAAAAAAAGAATTGAGGGGCCAGAGCGTTTGCCTTGCACGCAGCGGACGAGTTTGATCCTCGCCATCCCATAAGGTCCCTCAAGCACTTCAGGAATAGTGATTCCTGAGTGCATGAGCCAGGAGTAACCCTGAACATCGCCTGGGTGACCCAAAGAGCCAAAACAAGTGAAACATGGGAGCTGGAGAGACAGTACGATGGGTAAGGCACTTGCACATGCAGCCGACATGGGTTCCATTCCCAGCACTTGGTAGGCCTCCCCATCCCTGCCACAGGCCAGGAGTGATTCCTCAGCACCACCCGGTGTGGCCCAAAAACAAAACAATATAACAGTAAAAGTGCAATATGCAGCTCAGACAATACCATTTTTTGGTAGTAATCATGACCCACATGAGCAGCTTTCTAAATGTGCTTAAACTGAGTTTATCAGAGTTCTGAATGGTTTACAGGGTCCTGCCCCAGTCAATTTTTCTCCATGTGTCCTACATTTAATGAGTTCTGCCAGAAGCCAGATTTTTCAATGTGGCCTCTACTGTGTCACCTTGAAACACACTGGTGACTTAAGGGCACGATCAGTGAAGACTAAATATCCCTCCTTTCAGAGATGATGGCCCCTCTTCCTCTGTCTCTGCACTCAAGCGCCTGGAGCGCAGTCAGTGGACAGATAAGATGGATTCTCGATTTGGTTTTGAGAGACTTAAGGAGCCTGGTGAGAAGACAGGCTGGCTCATCAACATGCATCCGGTAAACACCTGGGCTTTCCATCTCCTCCTCTCCCCCCCAATCAGGGAACTATTATGCTATTTAGAGGACGTTCTTGTTGGCTAATTTCTTATGTTGTCTTGTTGGCTAATTTCTTATGGTTGTCTCCTAGACTGAAATTTTAGATGAAGATAAGCGTTTAGTCAGTGCAGTAGATTACTACTTCATTCAAGATGATGGGAGCAGATTTAAGGTAAGTCCCTAAAGCTTGGAAGCTTAAAATCACTCACTCTGGGGTCAGAGAGATGGTAGAGGGGTTAAGGTGCTTGCCCTACCTGTGGCTGATATCACATAGGGTCACCCATTACCCTATGTGACCCTTGAGCACAGAGACAGTAATAGTTAAACTCTGGCATGGACCAAAACCTCCAACCCCCCCCCAAAAAAAAAATTTCTTCATCTGAGGATGTGACTTAGTGGTAGAGCACGTGCCTTTTTATGGGTGAGGACCTGGATTCAATCCCCAGCACCGTATATACACACATTCAAGTATTAGAAAACCATGCAGTGGGCAGAGAGAATACAGCGGTTAAAGTTTCTTGGTTTGCATGGAGCTGACCAGGTTCAGTTGTCAACAATATAGATAGGGTCTCCTGAGCCTCAGCAGAAGTGACCCTTGAGCACTCTCATGTTTTGCTCAAACACCAAAATCAAATCAAACCAAAAACATTCCTCATTGATAAGGGATAACTAAAATGAGGAGTATTTATTTGGCTCTCTGACTATGAAGAGCGACTGGGAGGCTTCTGGTTAGCTGAAGCCCTTCAGAAACATGAACCCCTTAGAGCTGCCATGGTCACCACTTAGGGCATCCTAAGACAAACTAGCTCAGAAAAACTGAATGAGCAGGGTTATGTTTTTTTCCCTGCATTCAAATCCTATTCATTTTGGAGCCATACCTAGTGGTGCTTGGAGGCTACTCCAGGTAAAGTGCTTGGTGATCCTTGGACTGTGTAGGACCATGTATTGAAAGCAGGGTTCTCAAATGCAAAACATGTATTCCAACTCTTTTAGTTACTTCCTCAGACCCTAGTTTTGTTTGTTTGTTTGTTTTGGGCTACACCCAGCGGTGTTCAGGGCTGTGTCCTGGCTCTGTGCTCAGGAATCATTCTTTTTTTTTTGCTTTTTGGGTCACACCCGGCGATGCACAGGAATTATTTCTGGTTCATGCACTCAGGAATTACTCCTGGCGGTGCTCGGGGGACCATATGGGATGCTGGGAATTGAACCCGGGTTGGCTGCGTGCAAGGCAAACACCCTACCTGCTGTGCTATTGCTCCAGCCCCTCAGGAATCATTCTTGGCAGGCTCAGGGGACCACATGGGATACTGGGGTTTGCTAGCGTCCTATCTGCTGTACTATTGCTCCAGCCCGTAACTAATTTCAAATACTGTACCATTTCAAGATGTCAAAGTCAGGGGTGCATTTTTGTTGTTTGTTCATATTTTTGTTTTGGCAATGCTTGGGAGCTACCCCTGATTGTGCTCTGGGGTCTCCCTCGGTAGTGCTCAAGAACCAGATAGTGCTGGGCATCAAACCTGGACCTTCTGCATGCAAAGCATTTGCTTAGCCATTGAGCTATGTCTTCAGCTCATGGTGTTTATAGATTGGTGTGTAAGGACGAAACTGATGCCATGACAGGCTGCAACTAACAGGTCTCAACTAGGCCTCAGTTTCTGGTAAACTTCCAATTGAGTAATTCACTTAGATAAGAAACTGGGCAGTTGGATCTGGCCAGTCATGAGGGGTCGCCGTACCCTTCTTGGAAAAACCCCAAACTGTTACTGGTACCTGCTGTGTAATTGCTAACCACTGTTGTAATAGGGCAATGCTAAAAATAGAACAATATATAAACCACTTCTTAACTGAACCCTATATAAACTGCTTGTGATTTAGATTCAGGGTCCTTGTCAAGACTACTGCGTTGGATGAGACTTGGACCCTAGCTCGAGCTAGCAATAAAGTTCCTTTGCTTTTGCATTATCGTGTGTGGACTTGGTCTCTGCACAAGTGGGTATCTGAAACTTGGGCACAACAGGGGCAACATTTACTCATGCACTGTTGAGTATCAAGTTCAGAGTGTTGGTGTTGGGCATATGTTCCACCACTTGATCTAACTTCCTGACGCCAGAATCATGGGTTCACTGGATCTAGGGTACCCTTGGGTATAAATTCAGCTGTATTAAGTTGGAATGCAACTTGGATTCACTTTTTTTCTCCCCCTTTCTCATCACCTTTGAATAAATTGATGACTCACAGGTGGCCTTGCCCTACAAACCATATTTCTACATTGCAACCAGAAAGGTAAGTATCGTTCATAGAATCAGGTTAGGTGGCTTGTACCTTGTTCTCTAGCAATCTTTCTCCCAAAGTGGGTGATACTACCCTTTGGGGAGTACTGAAGTGACCCAGGAGACTGGTAGTAAACTCAAGTAGATTTTGGGGGAACAACTTTGTTCTCTTAAAGAAGATAGGTTTCCAGGGAGGCAGTGAGTAATTCCTTTTTCTTTTCAGGAAAATGGGGGGAGTAGCCAAAATAGGTTTGGGAACTCTGTTGCATGAGAGCTTCAGAACTTAAAATATGAAGGTCTCTAGAGGAATAGGCAAGAAAGAAAAAAAGATTTTTACTCATAGTAAGTACTTCCCTTCTAATCCCAATTTAGGGCTGTGAACGAGAAGTTTCATCTTTTCTCTCCAAGAAGTTTCAGGGTAAAATTGCTAAAATAGAAACTGTCCCCAAAGAGGATCTTGACTTGGTGAGTATCTCTCTGACCTTCTAGGGTAAATGAGTCTGGGTCCATCCTGCTTGTGTGTTGAGATGTGAAGAAGCCAAGCCAGGCCCTATGGATTGTGACTGGGGGATGGAATGAATGACAGGGCTTTGGTGACTTCCTATAGTTCTCTTTAGAGAACATTAGTGGCAAATGTTAGAAAGTTGTTTGGGAGTTGGCTGATTCTAACATATATTAGTTGTTTTCCCTTTTTTTTCTCTCTCAGTCTTTTTTTCTTCTCAACTCATGAGTATAATCTCTTCACTCTGTAGCCAAATCACTTGGTGGGTTTGAAGCGAAATTACATTAAACTGTCTTTTAACACTGTGGAGGACCTGGTCCGAGTAAGGAAGGAAATCTCCCCTGCTGTGAAGAAGAACTGTGAGCAGAGCCATGCTAGTGATTCCTACACAGCTATGCTTTCCAGGTATACTTCTTTCATATACTTCTTTCAGAATTGGCCTTCTTTCAGAGGGCCAATTTTCCACAAGGACTTGTTACCCTTTTGATTTGGTGTAGGA